TTGGGGACTCTGTTGGTCCCCTGTGCCATATGCTATGGTGTTTTTCGCCTGTGCTTGTGTGCGTTTGTGTGTCCATTCCAGACATCCATCCCTTGGTTCTGTCTCCTCTGTTTCAAGATCCCACTTCCTTCCAGCCCATGGTTTCATCTCCTCTAGGCACCTTTAAATGGCACTGCAGCAGCCAAGACAGAAGGAGACTTCGTCAACTCGCCCCTCGTTTGCTTATGCTGCATTTTGTTGACTTAAACTTGTGTCTTGCTATTTTGGTTGTTTATCATCCTGCATGTACTTTGACTTTGATTTAGCCTTTCCCTTTAAACTCTGTTAGCGGTTGTATATATTGTAATATTGTCAACCAGTTGTGGGGAGTGGCTACTTTTGCTGGCATGTTTGGGATTGGGGTTTAGTCTTTGTGTATGTCTAGTCAGGGAGGTAGGTAAGCAACTGGTCTTTTTTTTAATTTTTTTTTATTTGGTTTACGTTTAAGTTAGCGGTGTCCTTGTGAATTAGTAGGATTTTTTTTGTTATTTTGTTCTGGGTCAGTCCTGAAGCCTATTTTCTCTTTCCAACCCATTTTGCACAATATGACCACATACATATACAGTTGTGCTCATAAGTTTACATACCCTGGCAGAATTCGTGATTTTTTTTCAGAGAATAATAATGCTAATACAACAACTTTTCTTTTATTCATGGTTAGTGGTTGGGTCACGCCATTTATTATCAAACAATTGTTTTTGCCCTTTTTTAAATCATAATGACAACAGAAACTACCCAAATGACCCTGATCAAAAGTTTACATACCCTAGTCCTTAATACCCTGTATTCCCTCCTTTAACATCACTGACAGCTTGAAGTCTTTTGTGGTAGTTGTGGATGAAACACTTTATTTTCTCAGATGGTAAAGCTGCCCATTCTTCTTGGCAAAATGCCTCCAGTTCCTGTAAATTCTTGGGCTGTCTTGCATGAACTGCAAGATTGAGGTCAGGAGGCTGAGATGGCCACTCCAGAACCTTCACTTTTTTCTGCTCTAGCCAATGACAGGTCGATTTGGCCTTGTGTTTTGGATCATTGTCATGTTGGAATATCCAAGTGCGTCCCATGTGCAGCTTCCGGGCTGATGAGTGCAAATTTTCCTCCAGTATTTTCTGATAAAATGCTGCATTCATCCTGCCATCAATTTTGACCAAGGTCCCTGTGCCAGTGTAGCTCACACATCCCCAAAACATCAGCGATCCACCTCTGTGTTTTACAGTAGGGATGGTGCACATTTCATCATAGGCTTTGTTGACTCCTCTCCAAATGTAGCCTTTATGGTTGTGGCCAAAAAGTTCAATTTTGGTTTCTTCACTCCAAATAACTTTGTTCCAGAAATCTTGAGGCTTGTCTCTGTGCTGTTTGGCATATTGTAAGCGGGCTGTTTTGTGGCATTGGCGTAGTAAGGGCTTTCTTCTGGCGACTCGACCATGCAGCCCATTTTTCTTCAAGTGCCTCCTTATTGTGCATCTTGAAACAGCCACACCACTTTTTTTTTCAGAGAGTCCTGTATGACAGCTGACGCTATTTGTGGGTTTTCTTTGCGTCCTGAACAATTTTCCTGGCGGTTGTAGCTGAAATTTTTGTTGGTCTACCTGACCTTGGCTTGGTTTCAACAGAATCCCTCATTTTCCACTTCCTGGTTGACGAAGCACTACAACTTGTGCAAAAGCTGTGTCTTATTTAATAGCACTGAACACTACAATATCTATTTTGCACCGATTACCTTTGTGTTTCTGTAACTGATTCTGTTCCTTTGCCTGGAATTGATGATTGCATCAACAGTGCTGGATCAGCCAAGTGTGTGAGTAACCTAGATCTTCTGAAAGGTTACTGGCAAGTGCCATCATCTTCTAGAGCTTCTGACATCTTCACCTTTGTTACATCAAGTTTGAATTAATGCAGTATACTATGATGGCTTTTGGTTTAAAAAACACACCAACAACTTTCCAAAGACTTGTAAATCTTTTACTTTTAGATTTGGTCACGTATTTCTGAGTTTTTCCCTGCACAACACATTTTGCATCAATTGTTGGGAATGGTTGGATATTATGAGTTCTGCTTTTTTAGCTGTACTAGATTTTGAGAAGCTGGAGATAAAATTTACATAAAAATAGGCTGTCAGTGTTTCAGATAAACAAATAGTTTGTTTCTTCAGCTAATATTATACTATACTACTTTTATAGTACAGTGCATCTTTCAGATCAATACCAGGGAGTTTGTAAGGAGGTAGATGTTAATTAACGCTTTATGTCAATAGTTGTACACCAATCAGGCATAACATTCTGACCACCTCCTTGTTTCTACGCTCACTGTCCATTTTATCAGCTCCACTTACTATATAGGTGCACTTTGTAGTTCTACAGTTACAGACTGTAGTCCATCTGTTTCTCTGCATACTTTGTTAGCCCCCTTTTACCCTGTTCTTCAGTGGTCAGGACCCCCATGGACCCTCACAGAGCAGGTACTATTTGGGTGGTGGATCATTCTCAGCACTGCAGTAACACTGACGTGGTGGTGGTGTGTTAGTGTGTGTTGTGCTGGTCTGAGTGGATCAGACACAGCAGTGCTGCTGGAGTTTTTAAACACTGTGTCCACTCACTGTCCACTCTATTAGACACTCCTACCTTGTCAGTCCACCTTGTAGATGTAAAGTCAGAGACGATAGCTCATCTACTGCTGCACAGTTTGTGTTGGTCATCCTCCTTCATCAGTGATCACAGGACGCTGCCCACAGGACGCTGTTGGCTGGATATTTTTGGTTGGTGGACTATTCTGAGTCCAGCAGTGACACTGAGGTGTTTAAAAACTCCAGCAGCACTGCTGTGTCTGATACACTCACCAAATGCTGAGAGCTAAGTCCAGAGTGCAGATGTAGTTTCTGTAGCATTTAGCCACAACAGAACTACACTCATCAGAAAGGAAATTGGTAGCTCAGCTCTCTCTACACTAACTTTCAATCAGTACTGATTGGCATGAATCACAAAAGCTTATAAATTGAGTCGACACAAGGGAAGGTAGGATGGGGAGAACGACAACACAGACGGCAAAATGACATGCCCAGTATGTAAATATATGGTACTAAGAGCCAATAGGAATGATGTGAGTTTCACTCAAAAAGGTTGCATTGACCAAACATTTATCAAGTAATGCTGAGAGTCTAAACTGAACTGAAATAAGTTTATTCAACTCAATGATCTGTTTGATGGGATCATTAAGTCTGAAATAATCAAAATAAAGTTATGAAAAAAGCATGAAAGTCCAAATCATTTAAATGTAAACATTTATGCTGTTTATCACATTAAGCCACACAAAATTTTCAACAGTCTTTAAAAACAACCCATTATTGGCCCATTAATAGTTGCATGTAAAGTCAAGTTAAATAAAAATAGTGAATATAATACATTTAAATAAAGTTATTCAAAATGACTGAGTTACTATCTCAACATTCATTTTTGAGTTATTTTCAATTTTTCAGATTAAGTTACTACAACTTTCTGTAGTATTTAAGTTGTGTTAACATAATTCTTTCATTAAGATGTGCAGTAAGTTTTACAGTGTGGGGGCTCATGGTCAAAGAGTAAACTGGGATAGTTAGTGCTGCCATCCCGCTGCTCTCACTCACTCACTCAGGTTTGTTGATGGTGGAGTGGAGGGGCTGAAACTCTACCTGTCTTCTTACAGCTCTTTAAAAAGTCTTATTGTCATATATTATAAATATTAAGCTTTAAAGGTAATTAAGTAGTAAACGTTTAAATTGAAGGGCTCTTAATTACAACATAAACATTATTTTGATTAATTCATTTATCTATTCTTTTTCTTCTTTCTCCCAAAATAAGACATTTTGGCTCATTAGAGTTTTAGACATAAAACAAAACCTCATACAGCCATTAGACTGACATGCTACACTGACCTTCTGGGACAGATTATTACAGTAGCTGTTTCTGTCTGAGCTAAAGGAAACTTAAAATGATGGTTCCTCAAACTGACCTCTGCACAGTACAAACTGTTTGTGTACCTAGAAAATTGTTGCTTCTTTTTATGTTCTGCCAGATAGAACCTTAAGCAGAACTCCAAGCAGAAAGTGAGTTCTCAGGAGTTCTTGGCTGGATGTCATGTCATGGAGACTTTAGTGAACAGTCCACTTTCCCTTGAACTCTTGCTAGAGTCTGTGTTTTAGGCTAGAGATGGATGATCCCTGCATGGACTAACTTGTACACTTGCACCACGCTACGCTTGTTCTGCATGATGTGTGACGTGATCATTTTGTCTTTGTCTTCTCAACATAATGACCAAAAGCAGAGCCTTTTTTAAACTGAGATACATGTTCTCCAAAACTGCAAAAGTGCCAGTGAATAACCTATGTCAAATGGTTTTCAAACTTGCGCTGATCTACAGTGCATGTGTACTAATGATGTAGCACCACTCAAACCCAGTGGTGAGCAAAGCAGCAGTGTGTGCTCAGCTTCAAGGTGAGCGAAGCACAAAATGCTTTTCATCTGAAAACTCCCTTACTGTCATTGCTTTGTGATTATTTTGCTATCTGGTGTCAACCAAAGTCAGGTGTGTTCCCTTTTTGAATCTTGGTTCCTCTGAAAGTTTTGAGAGTTTTCCTTCAAACTGTCACCCTTGACTTGCTCACTTGGGGCTTGGACCAGGATATCTGTGAAGCTGCTTTATATCAGCACTCAATATAAAAGGTGCTATACAAAGAAATTTGAATTTGAATGTATTTTGTACATGATTCTCTTAGCAGACCACTCAGAAAAGCAGTAAAAAACACTTGAATGTGCACAGCCGGAACTGTTTAAAACCAACCATTTAAGAGCTGTAGGTTGAAATAACTCAAAGCCTAAACATCATTGGCAAAGACATGCCAGCAATGTACCGGGTTTTGAGAGTGCAAATGTTCACACACACACACACACACACACACAGACACACACACACACACACACACACACCTGAGTTTCTCCAGTGCACAGTGTGGATCCTCCTTTATATCAGACAGCAGCTTCACTCCAGACTCTCCTGGGTGATTATAGCTCAGATCTAGTTCTCTCAGGTGGGAGGGGTTTGATTTCATAGCAGATGCCAGAGAGGAACAGCCTTCAGCTGTAACCATGCAACCAGACAATCTGCAGAAAGAAAGGAAAAAGAGGGACAGATGTTATTTACATGGAACAAAAACAGATGTGGTTCGGTGTGGTTCAGCATGCACCACATGCCGTGAAATCAACAGTTTGATTTTACCAATCAAAGCAATTTAAAAAACATAATAGTAAAACTGATTAGGGCGGTCATTAACATTCTCAGTTGACTGTGAATCTGTCCCTTGACTAATTCATCAATATCAAATCATTCAGTAACCACCAATGCTCTGTGGATGGGGGCTCCTCCCATTAGAATACAAATGCATCATCATAAGATAAAGGCACTCAGTCAGAATAACTTTGAATAATAATTCAAAATAATAATCTGCAGTGACTTACTTGTAAGGGGACAAGTGGCCGCAAACCATGCCAGAAACCAGACCCCCGCACTGTAGAGGTCCAGCATTCAGGCCTGTACTGTTCTCTTGGTGTACACCGCAGATATGTTCTCCACTCCCTTGTGGAGAACATGGTGGAGGATGACTCATCTGACCATATCACTGTTCTGCACATCTCTGTAGACCAGCGCTGATGGTTTTTATACCACTAGACAACTGTCCTCTGGTCATTTGTCTTAGTAATAAGGGGTTTCTGCACCACAGCTTTATAATAATATCCCTCTCTGTATAGTTGTGGACAGACTGTTCTTGCCGACAGTCTGATCTTGTCTTGCATTGATATTCTCAGTCAACTGAGAAACAGCTGTTCTTACATACAAGTATCAGGAGTACTCATTGTACAGATTTCCAGTGCCATTTACTATTATGTTATTCCCACAGATTTAAATGCAGTTACTTTAGACATTGTTTACCAAATTTATCAATCATCCCTGCCCCATTGGACTTGGATGATCTTGAAAACATTACTGAAATTCTGCAATCCACACTTCAGTCATCTCTTGATAAGCTTGTACCAACAAGCATACACACATACTAAAACAAAAAGCTTGTAGTCTGGAACGTAATTGACATATATGAAAACTAGACTGTTTCCAAACTGAATGGAAAAAGATCTTGTTCGTGACTATATCCAAACTAACTGGTAATATTAAACAATTTAAAGATGATATTCAAACAACCTAAAGCAGCAATAGTTTATCAGATTCTTCAATGATAAAATAGAAAATATTAGACTACAAATCCAAAATCTGCCTATAGATCTAATATCACAATATGATGGGTGCCCTGCCAGCCCAAAAGTACAGTTGCTATCTTTTAGTCCTATCCAACCAAATGAATGTCACAGTAAGTATCTCATCCAAATCATCAACATACATTCTTGACACAGTACTCACAAAACTGCTCAAACAGATTGTCCCCTGTGTTGTTAAACCCCTGCAGTCTATAATAAATTTGTCCCTCAATCTGGGATAAGTACCAGTCATTAAACCCCAAATTAAAAAGCAAGAACTTGATCCCAATGAACTCACCAACTATAGACCAATTTCCAATCGCCCCTTCGTTGCTAAGATCTTACAAAAAGTGATCTCACATCAACTGAGCTCCTATCTACAAGAAAACTCTTTCCATGAGATGTGTCAGTCTGGCTTTAGACCCTTTCACAGTCCTGAAACAGCATTCACTACAGTAGCAAATGATCTCCTTGGGTCTCTCGATAGTGGCCATATTTGCATACTAGTCCTTCTAGATCTCAGTGGAGCGTTCGATACCATCAACCACAAAATCCTCCTTGATAGACTGGAAAATCTGGTCGGTATCAAAGGACAGGCTTTTCTGATCTTACCTGACAGACCATTATCAGTTTGTCAGTGTTAACAATAAACACTCTGATCGCACGCTAGTAGAATATAACATCCCCCAAGGATCTGTGCTCAGGCCGCTGCTTTTCTCTCTGTACAGGCAACCTCTTGGTAAGATAATTCGCAGGTTCCATGTTAGTTTTCACTGCTATGCGAATGACATACAACTTTACATATCTGCTAAACCAAATGAGGCTCTAAATCTAAATAATCTTGAAGAATGTGTTAAAAATATCAAAAGCTGGATGACCAACAATTTCCTTCTTCTTAATCCTAACAAAACTGAGGTCCTACTACTTGGACCCAAAGCAGAGAAATCTCAACTCTCCAAATTTGAACTAAATTTAGAGGTCATACGGTCATTCCAAGCACTACTGTAAAAAAAATCTAGGCGTCATCTTCGATTCCAGTCTCTCTTTTGATACACGTTTGCAATATTGTTAGAACGCATTCATTCACTTGTGTAACATCGCTAAACTATGCAATATTCTAGCCCTAAACGATGCGGAAAAGCTAGTGCCTTCAAACCTCCAAGCTGGACTACTGTAACACCATTTTAGCTGGATGCTCCCACATTTTACTAAATAAGCTCCAGCTGGTCCAGAATGCATCTGCTAGAGTCCTTAGAAGGATCAAAAAGTTTGACCATATATCTCCAATCCTGTCATCATTACACTGGCCAGCTGTTAAATGTGGTGTAGAATATAAGATCCTTTTCTTAACATATAAATCATTTAATGGCCCCATCTTAGTGAATTAATTCAGTCATAGGAACCCACACAAATGCTCCGCTCAAAAACGACCTGCTGACAGTTCGTAGAATTAGAAAAACTACAGCAGGGGGTTAAGCATTTTCCTACATAGCCCCAAAATTGTGGAATCATCTCCCGACCTCTGTTCGGGACTCAAACACACTCTCTACACTAAAAACTGGACTCAAAACTTTTCTGTTTGCACAAACATTTTGCTAATATCAGTTGTTGCACTATTAAATCACTAATATATCTCCATAAACAGACCTGTCCTGTTAATCTTTCTCTTTCTCTCTGATCTGTACCGTTTTGACCACCATGGAGTTTCATGCAGTACAATGCAGTGCAAACCTTACCTGCATGAACTGATTCACCTGCTGCTGCTGCTGCATAACTTATCTATGCTGTATAACTATCTACTTAACCGTTGCTCCACCAGTTTTTTCCCCATTTTGTAGATGATATTTTATACTAATGCTGTTTGCTATCCGGTGTCGACCACAGAAGGAAGGGTTCCCCTTTTGAGTCTTGGATCTTATCAAGGTTTCTTCCTCTTGCTCTTAGGGACTTTTTCCTTGCGACTGTCACCATTGGCTTGTCATGGGGGCTTGGACCCAGATTTTTCTGTAAAGCTGCTTTGTGACAACACCTGTTGTAAAAAGTTCTATACAAATAAACTTTGATTTGACTTGACTAATGAAAGCTTGGAAAATGGAAGGGGCAATAGAAAGGCCGAAAAGCATTACCAAGTACTCATAAAAGGATTTTGAAACCAACCCCTATGTGGGAACCCTCATCACTCCATGTGCTTTCCACAAGTTGGTGCCAAAGTTTTGTGTGGACAGGCTCTGCAGTCACTGAGGAGATGACCAGCAACACCACAATACAGGAGAAGGCCTCTTGTCAGCCAACAGAGCCTTTCCTCCTTGGACAGACGTGAAGTCACACTGCATGGGTTCATCGACTTCCTTGTTTTTAATGGGTTCCATGTTCTTGTAGCCATTCTATTGTTTTGTTTAATTTTGTGTGCCACATTTAAGAGTTGATCTAGACATATAGACAGAGTTATAAGTTGATCCAATGTCAGGTCATCATTTCTACATGCCATTTCAGTCAGGATTTCAGAGTTCAGTCCTTGATAATACATAGTCAAAAGAGCAGCCTCATTCCACCCACTACCAGCCACCAGGGTGCGGAATTCTAATGCATACTCCACTACAGAGTGACTATCCTGTCGTAGCTTACACAAAAATTCTCCACTTGCCTTCATTGGGGTGATCAAAAACTCCTTCAAAAACTGAGTATAAGAAACAGAGTGGATTCTTTGCCAGCTCACAGTAGCCCACTCTAGTGGTCTATCGGACAAACATGAGACTAAAAATGAGATTTTAGCCTGATCTCAGCTACCTGGAGTGTTATCAAAAAAGTAGAGCACTGCAACAAAAATCCCTGGCACTTATCTGGGTTACCATCAAATGTATCAGGTTTACTTACTGAAAACGTGAAGCCACTAGTTGTGCCAGCTGGGCTTGTTGCTCAGACTGTTGTTGAGCAAGCAACTCAAGTGAATGTGTTACCCCTGTTAATACTCCCTGGTGATGACCAAGTAACTGGCACTGCTTGTTAAGAGCTTTCTGAAAAGCCTCCATATCCGCCATCAGCATTTTCAGCAGAATAACTTGACACTTGTGGATAAAAAGAGAACGTGAGGCTTTAATATTAGAATCACAGTTCAAAAACATGGTCAGCGAACAGGCAAAGGTAAAATCCAGAAATGACAAAAAACACAAGAACACAAACATAACCTGGCAACCAGAGTACAAGGGGCAAAGGCAAAAAGGGCAAAAGTACCAAAATACAGTCAGAACTGGAAAAATCACAAAACAGATAAAGAACACTCAGTAGGTCTTAGGATAAGAAGCAATACCTTGCAACAAACTAGTCTACAAGCTCGGGCTTTATACTAACACTAATCATACGAAAACAGATGTAACAAGTTACAGTCTCAGTTGTTGCTGTTTGCTTCAAACTGGCCACCATTGTGTCAGTTCCAAAGTCAGCCAGGGTATATACTCTAAATGACTGGCGCCTGGTTGCTCTGACCTCCATCATAAGCAAGTGCTTTGAGAAGCTGGTCAGATACTTTATCTGCTCCTCACTACCTGCCACTCTGGACCTGCTGCAGTTTGCTTACACATATGTGAGAATGCAGCTCAGCATTCAACACCATTGTGCTCTCAAGGCTCGACATTAAGCTTCGGGATCTGGGTCTGAACAGTTCTCTGTACTGCTGGATCCTAAACTTCCTGACGGGCCGACGCCAGGTGGTAAGGATGGGCAACATCACCTCCTCCTCACTGATCCTTAACTCCGGAGCTCCTCAGGGCTGTGTTCTCATCCTTCTTTTGTACTCCCTGTACACCCACGACTGTTCAGCCAGACACAGCTCCAATGTCATCAGCAAATTTGCAGATGACACCATGATTGTAGGCCCGATCTCCAATGGCAACGAGGAGGCATACAGCGAGATGGTCAGCTTTCTGACACACTGGTGCCAGGAGAACAACCTCTCTCTAAATGTCGACAAGACCAAGGAGCTCATAGTGGACTTCAGGAAGCAAGAGAGAGTGCACACCCGCATCACCATCAATAGAGCCGCTGTAGAGAGGGTCAGCAGCTTAAAATTCCTCTGCGTTCACATCTCAGAGGAGCTGACATGGACCAAACACACCACACGGGTGGTGAAGAACGCACAACAGCGCCTCTTCCACCTCAAGTGGCTGAGGAGGTTTGGCATGAACTCCCACATCCTCAGAACATTCTACACATGTACTATGGAGAGCATTCTAACACCTCCATCACCACCTGGTATGGGAACTGCACTGCCATGAAGCAGAAGGCTCTGCAGAGGGTGGCGTGGACAGCCCAGAACATCACCTGGGTCCTGCTCCCAAACCTCCTGGATTTATAGCCACTGTTTGTTCTCACAGCTGCCAAACGGGAGGAGGTACAGAAGCATAAAGTCCAGAACCAGCCAGTTCCGAGACAGGGCCATCAGGCTGCTGAACAGCCTATAGTGCTGGTGTATCGGTCTAGAAGCCTGTCACTACACCTCTGAATCATCATGATGATCTCCATGAACAATCTACACCTCATCCACATCAAAATAGATTTACTCTGATCTTACTGCACCTCCAATCTAGCAAATCTATACTACACATATAAACTGATATGTTGCTGTATACATATCTTCTACCTAAGATTTCTACATAAATATTCTATCCCCTGTGCACCCTACATCTCATTTGTTTATCTACCTCAGACTCACTAACTGCACATATAGAAATTTGTATAACAGTACATATCAGTTTCATTTCATATCTTATTACTGTACAACTGTACATTGGAAATTGCAGTACTAGTGTATATTGAGTATATGTGTATATATTTAGAGTCTTTGTTTATATATTTCTTATATTTATTTATTTATCTATTTATTTATTTATTTTGGATTTAAGTTCTACAAGGGGGCTACTGACATTTTTGCTGACATTGTCAGCTGAGTTTGGAACTCAGTATTGACTGCTATATGTCACATGCTTCAATATTCAGCTGTCCCATTCTGTTAGTGGTGTGGCTCAATGCTTCACAGCTGAGCTATCATTGCACCTACACATTTCCACATCACAGTAACAGCACTTCCAGTTAACCAAGGAAGACCTAATAAGGCAGAATTGTGATCAACTGACATGATGCTATCTTCTGAGAGAGCCACATTGAAAGTAACCGAGCTCTACAGCATGGCCAATTCTACTGCGAGTGTGTGTCATGTTATGGCTGCATACTGGATTTTATTCACTTATTACCAATGAGAGTGTCTGAAATAGCTAAAACCACTAATTATAAGGGATGTTCACAGACACAAACAAGACTGCCAGAATCATACTTGTCCTAAATAAATCCACGCTAGACACCTGCAATGTCACCAACTACTAACCTGCATGTCTCCTTTCTTTCCTTTCAAAAATCCTTAAACGCTCTATAATCAGCTAACTCTCTTTCTTACTCAGAATCAGCTCCATGATCCCAACAAGTCTAGTGTCAAACTGACACACTGCTGTTTGGCATCATAGATAGCAGCCCTCACCCGAAGTTGAATCCCAGCAAGACTGAGCTGCTATGCCTGCATGTAAATAAAGTTCCTCACTTTGATCTCCCTTGAGAACTTTTGTCATTCCATCTTCCTTTTGTAGTCCTGAAGAATCAGTTATCTTTTTTAGCACATGTTGCAAACCTGACTTGGTTACACAGATTTCTCCTCTAAAACATCCAGAAGATTTGGATTCTGGGAGATGGAGTTTCTCTGAGAGCTCGACGGATGCGTGACATTAACTGAACCTTTTGCCACCATTTTGTTATCTATGCATTTCTGAATGTTATGGAATGTCAGATCTTACTAATTTTAGTTTAAAATCTAATTTATACAGTACTTACCTGAGTATCTCCAGTTTACAGTGTGAACTCTTCAGTCCAACAGAGAGCACTTGCACACCTGAATCCTGCAGGTCATTGTTACTGAGGGCTAGTTCTTTCAGGGAGGAGTTTGCTGATTGAAGAGCAGAGCAAAGAGTCTCACAGGATTTCTTTGTGAGATTACAGTGAACTAGTCTGCAAAGGAATAACAAACACAGCACAAAGAACAGTTAAAATGGGGCTTAAGAGATCCAGTGTCACAGGAGTTAAGTGGTTTTCTTTAATGACTTAATCTCTGGGTTTTGAATCTGGCCAAATGTCAAACTCAGCAGTAAACACACTATGCAACACAAAATTTCCAGTGCAGTAATGAATTTATTCATGAAAACACCACACTTTTGATTACAGCACCCATCTGCTCATATCATTGTAGCAGTTCAATGTCCTAGGTATAACCTCAACTAAACAACCATGTTAATGTAATGTATTTTAATGATCCATGTTCCCCACCTGCTTGGGTACCAAAATGGACACACTACACAAAGGAAATGATTAAAGATAAGAGCTACAGATCAAGTATCCTGGTAGAAATTTAGCAGCAATACAAAAAAAATACCACAGTTAAAAGGAGAAACCATGATAGAAAAGATCATTCAGTCAGTCCACATTGGCTTGTTCAGGTGGTCTTTTAACAGACCCGTGTTTTGTAATTAATCACTATTAATACATGTAAACATTGGGAGAGGGGCAGTACTGTCAGATATCCTATATGCTTTCTATTAATCTTGACCATTACTTGTCATTACCTGTTTAATGAAACTCTTTTCATCAGAATCAGAATCAAGCTTTATTGGCCAGGTATGCTTTGATTTTGGTTACAGGAGCTCACAGTGCACAGTACCAGACATACATTTACATGTAGTGAATAAAATAAAATAAATATAAAATATAACAAAATAAAATAAAATAAAATAAAACATGCATTCCTACCATCACTCACTCAAACACACACACACACACACACACACAGTCATACCTGTAAACCTTACATTGTGCAAAATATGGGTCTAAAGTTAAAGTGCTGAGTGCAGCAGCAGTTAAAGGGTGTGAAGAAAGAGAAAGGGATCAGTGAGATAACAGTCCGATAAGTGGGGTAATAAGGCAGGAAAGTAATATGCTAGAATAAAACACTGGTTTGAGGCGGCAGTTCCAGAGGATGGAGTTGACTCAGATACTACAGTGGTGTGAAAAAGTGTTTGCCCCCTTCCTGATTTCTTATGCTTTTGCATGTTTGTCACACTTAAATGTTTCAGATCACCAAACAAATTTAAATATTAGACAAAGATAACGCAAGTAAACCCAACATGCAGATTATAAATGAAGGTCTTTATTATTAAGGGAAAAAGAAATCCAAACCTACAGGGCCCTGTGTGAAAAAGTGATTTCCCCCTAAACCTAAAATCTGGTTGGGTCACCCTTAGCAGCAACAACTGCAATCAAGCGTTTGCGATAACTGGCAATGAGTCTTTTACAGTGCTGTGGAGCAAATTGGGCCCACTCATCTTTGCAGAATTGTTGTAATTCAGCCACATTGGAGGGTTTCCGAGCATGAAGCGCCTTTTTAAGGTCATGCCACAGCATCTCAATCGGCTTCAGGGCAGGACTTTGACTAGGCCACTCAAGTCTTAATTTTGTTTTTCTTAAGCCATTCAGAGGTGGACTTGCTGGTGTGTTTTGGATCATTGTCCTGCTGCAGAAGCCAGGTGCGCTTCAGCTTGAGGTCACGAACAGATGGCCGGACATTCTCCTTCAGGATTTTTGAGTAGACAGCAGAATTCATGGTTCCATTTACCACAGCAAGTCTTCCAGGTCTTGAAGCAGCAAAACAGCCCCAGACCATCACACTACCACTACCATATTTTACTGTTGGTAGGATGTTCCTTTTCTGAAATGCTATGTTACTTCTATGCCAGATGTAATGGGACATACACCTTCCAAAAACGTTTGTCTCGTCAGTCCACAGAGTATTTTCCCAAAAGTCTTGGGGATCATCAAGATGTTTTCTGGCAAAACTAAGACGAGCCTTTATGTTCTTTTTGCTCAGCAGTGGTTTTCGTCTTGGAACTCTGCCATGCAGGCCATTTTTGCCCAGTCTCTTTCTTATGGTGGAGTCATGAACACTGACCTTAACTGAGGCAAGTGAGGCCTGCAGTTCTTTGGATGCTGTTGTGGGGTCTTTTGTGACCTCTTGGATGAGTCATCGCTGTGCTTTTGGGGTAATTTTGGTCGGCCGGCCACTCCTGGGAAGGTTCACCACTGTTCCATTCTTTCGCCATTTGTGGATAATGGCTCTCACTGAGGTTTAGAAAGCTTTAGAAATGGCTTTATAACCTTTTCCAGACTGATAGATCTCAATTACTTTGTTTCTCATTTTTTCCTGAATTTCTTTGGATCGCAGCATGATGTCTAGCTTTTGAGGATCTTTTGGTCTACTTCACTTTGTCAGGCAGGTCCTATGTAAGTGATTTCTTGATTGAGAACAGGTGTGGCAGTCATCAGGCCTGGGTGTGGCTAGGGAAATCAAACTCAGCTTTCCAAAGACCTTCATTTATAAACTGCATTTTGGGGTTATTTGTGTTATCTTTATCTATTATTTAAATTTGTTTGGTGATCTGAAACATTTAAGTGTGACAAACATGCAAAAGAATAAGAAATCAGGAAGGGGGCAGACACTTTTTCACACCACTGTATATACTAATATTGTAAAAGTGCAGTTTGAAGCTGGAATATTGTTTTGTGTAATATTTAACATCTGGTTAATAGGAGTCAAGTGAAAGGATCCCCATTAGCTGCTATCCTGATATCCTTCCTGGGGTCCAGTAGACATACTGTATATTGCAAAATGACACAATAACAATATGATTTGTTGTATGGTTGAAAGTGTTTTAAAACTCAGGAAAGCACTGATGCACCTCCAGGAAAATGTTCAGGTTCTCTCAAAACAGGTAAACATTTACTGTAAAGTAAACAGCACAATTATAGTCTTGATTGTGACTCACCAGCACCAACCTGAGAGTCTCTGATAAAACATGAGGTTCATCAGATTTAATGCTGTTAAAACTTGGCTTTCAAAGTGTGTCTCTCCAAACATCACAAACAAGAATTTATCTGTGATTATTAACTGCACCCCTAAGACTATCAGCAGTGAAGAGAACAGAGACATGGGCTCATATTCACAAAGCTTCTCAGAGTAAAAGTGCTTACTTAAGATCAGATTCCTGGGTAGGAGTTTTCATCTAAGATCAGATTCCTGTGTAGGAATGCCGATCTAAGATCAGATTCTTGTGTAGAAGTGCTAATCTCAGATCAGATTCCTGTGTAGGAGTGCTGATTTAAAATCAGATTCCTGTGTAGGAGAGCTGATTTATAATCAGATTTCTGTGTAGGAATGCCAATCTAAGATTAGATTCCTGTGTAGGAGTGCTAATCTAAGATCAGATTCCTGTGTAGGAGTGCTGATTTAAGATCAGATTCCTGTGTAGGAGAGCTGATTTATAATCAGATTTCTGTGTAGGAATGCCGATCTAAGATCAGATTCCTGTGTAGGAGTGCTGATCTAGGATCAGAATCCTGTGTAGAACACTAGAAGTGTTCCAGTCCACCTGGAAGGAGAGCCTTATAGACTATAGAAGAGCACTTACTACAGCACGCTCAGCCTGTCTCTCCTCTCTCATAGAAAACAATAAGAATAATCCTAGATTACTATTTAGCACAATTTCTAAAATAATGGAGAACCAAACAGTTACTGAACCCCAGATGCCATCAGCCTATAGCAGCAATGATTTTATGAATTTCTTTAGTAATAAAATAAAAAAAAATTAGACAGAAAATTCAGAATACACAAACTCTACAAACATGTTGCCTTATAATGCCAGTCTCAATCTTGAGAATATTGTAATTACTGCAGAGAAGCTGGAACTGTTTACCTTACTTCAACAAAATGAACTAGTTGAAACTGTTTCCTCCGCTAAATCTTCTACTTGTTAGATCCGATTCTTACAGGTTTACTCAAGAAAATTTGCCAGAAATAACCAAGCCTATTCTGTCAATAATAAACTCCTCTTTTAGCTTTAGATACATACCAAAAACTCTTAAACTAGCAGTAATTAGACCTCTGATTAAGAAAGCAAACCTCGATCCCTGCAAACTATTAAACTATAGCTCTGTCTTGAATCTCCCCTTTATATCTAAGATCTTGGAAAAAGTTGTAGCAAAACAATTAAGCTCCTATTTGTATAGGAATCATACATGAAACATTTCAGTATGGTTTTAGGCCACATCATGGTACAGAAACAGCACTAGTAAAAATTGTAAATGATCTATTATTATTCTCTGACCAAGAAAATGTGTCTTTGCTAGTCATGTGATCTCCCAGAGGATTCTGGGAGATGGAGTCCAGGTTTCTCTGAGAGCTTGACGGATGCGTGACATTAACTGAACCTTTTGTCACCATTTTGTTATCTATGCATTTCTGAATGTTATGGAATGTCAGATCTTACTAATTTTAGTTTAAAATCTAATTTACAGAATCCTTACCTGAGTATCTCCAGTTTACAGTGTGAACTCTTCAGTCCAACAGAGAGCACTTGCACACCTGAATCCTGCAGGTCATTGTTACTGAGGTCTAGTTCTTTCAGGGAGGAGTTTGCTGATTGAAGAGCAGAGCAAAGAGTCTCACAGGATTTCTTTGTGAGATTACAGTGAACTAGTCTGCAAAGGAATAACAAACACAGCACAAAGAACAGTTAAAATGGGGCTTAAGAGATCCAGTGTCACTGGATCAAGGAAATGATTAAAAATAAGAGCTACAGATCAAGTATCCTGGTAGAAATTTAGCAGCAATACAAAAAAATTACCACAGTTAAAAGGAGAAACCATGATAGAAAAGATCATTCAGTCAGTCCACATTGGCTTGTTCAGGTGGTCTTTTAACAGACCCTTGTTTTGTAATTAATCACTATTAATACATGTAAACATTGGGAGAGGGGCGGTACTGTCAGATATCCTATATGCTTTCTATTAATCTTGACCATTACTTGTCATTACCTGTTTAATGAAACTCTTTTCATCAGAATCAGAATCAAGCTTTATTGGCCAGGTATGCTTTGATTTTGGTTACAGGAGCTCACAGTGCACAGTACCAGACATACATTTACATGTAGTGAATAAAATAAAATAAATATAAAATATAACAAAATAAAATAAAATAAAATAAAACATGCATTCCTACCATCACTCACTCAAACACACACACACACACACACACACACAGTCATACCTGTAAACCTTACATTGTGCAAAATATGGGTCTAAAGTTAAAGTGCTGAGTGCAGCAGCAGTTAAAGGGTGTAAAGAAAAAGAAAGGGATCAGTGAGGTAACAGTCCGATAAGTGGCGTAATAAGGCAGGTAAGTAAGATGCTAGAATAAAACACTGGTTTAAGGCGGCAGTTCCAGAGGATGGAGTTGACTCAGATACTACAGTGGTGTGAAAAAGTGTTTGCCCCCTTCCTGATTTCTTATTCTTTTGCACGTTTGTCACACTTAAATGTTTCAGATCACCAAACAAATTTAAATATTAGACAAAGACAACACAAGTAAACCCAACATGCAGTTTATAAATGAAAGTCTTTATTATTAAGGGAAAAAGAAATCCAAACCTACAGGGCCCTGTGTGAAAAAGTGATTTCCCCCTAAACCTAATAACTGGTTCGGCCACCCTTAGCAGCAACAACTGCAATCAAGCATTTGCACTAACTGGCGATGAGTCTTTTACAGCGCTGTGGAGCAAATTGGGCCCACTCATCTTTGCAGAATTGTTGTAATTCAGCCACATTGGAGGGTTTCGGAGCATGAACTGCCTTTTTAAGGTCATGCCACAGCATCTCAATCGGCTTCAGGGCAGGACTTTGACTAGGCCACTCAAGTCTTAATTTTGTTTTTCTTAAGCCATTCAGAGGTGGACTTGCTGGTGTGTTTTGGATCATTGTCCTGCTGCAGAAGCCAGGTGCGCTTCAGCTCGAGGTCACGAACAGATGACCGGACATTCTCCTTCAGGATTTTTGAGTAGACAGCAGAATTCATGGTTCCATTTACCACAGCAAGTCTTCCAGGTCTTGAAGCAGCAAAACAGCCCCAGACCATCACACTACCACCACCATATTTTACTGTTGGTAGGATGTTCCTTTTCTGAAATGCTATGTTACTTCTATGCCAGATGTAATGGGACATACACCTTCCAAAAACGTTTGTCTCATCAGTCCACAGAGTATTCTCCCAAAAGTCTTGGGGATCATCAAGATGTTTTCTGGCAAAACTAAGACGAGCCTTTATGTTCTTTTTGCTCAGCAGTGGTTTTCGTCTTGGAACTCTGCCATGCAGGCCATTTTTGTCCAGTCTCTTTCTTATGGTGGAGTCATGAACACTGACCTTAACTGAGGCAAGTGAGGCCTGCAGTTCTTCGGATGCTGTTGTGGGGTCTTTTGTGACCTCTTGGATGAGTCGTCACTGTGCTCTTGGGGTAATTTTGGTCGGCCGGCCACTCCTGGGAAAGTTCACCACTGTTCCATTCTTTCGCCACTGAGGTTTAGAAAGCTTTAGAAATGGCTTTATAACCTTTTCCAGACTGATAGATCTCAATTACTTTGTTTCTCATTTGTTCCTGAATTTCTTTGGATCGCAGCATGATGTCTAGCTTTTGAGGATCTTTTGGTTTACTTCACTTTGTCAGGCAGGTCCTATGTAAGTGATTTCTTGATTGAGAACAGGTGTGGCAGTCATCAGGCCTGGGTGTGGCTAGGGAAATCAAACTCAGCTTTCCAAAGACCTTCATTTATAAACTGCATTTTGGGGTTATTTGTGTTATCTTTATCTATTATTTAAATTTGTTTGGTGATCTGAAACATTTAAGTGTGACAAACATGCAAAAGAATAAGAAATCAGGAAGGGGGCAGACACTTTTTCACACCACTGTATATACCAATATTTTAAAAGTGCAGTTTGAAGCTGGAATATTGTTTTGTGTAATATTTAACATCTGGTTAATAGGAGTCAAGTGAAAGGATCCCCATTAGCTGCTATCATGATATCCTTCCTGGGGTCCAGTAGACATACTGTATATTGCAAAATGACACAATAACAATATGATTTGTTGTATGGTTGAAAGTGTTTTAAAACTCAGGAAAGCACTGATGCACCTCCAGGAAAATGTTCAGGTTCTCTCAAAACAGGTAAACATTTACTGTAAAGTAAACAGCACAATTATAGTCTTGATTGTGACTCACCAGCACCAACCTGAGAGTCTCTGATAAAACATGAGGTTCATCAGATTTAATGCTGTTAAAACTTGGCTTTCAAAGTGTGTCTCTCCAAACATCACAAACAAGAATTTATCTGTGATTATTAACTGCACCCCTAAGACTATCACCTCCTCGATCTTATTGCGGCATTTGACACAATAGACCACACTATCTTACTAGACAGACTAGAAAACCTTGTAGGAATAACAGGAACAGCTCTTTCCTGGTTCAGGTCCTACCTCACCTATCGCTATCAGTTTGTTAATATAAACCGTGAATCATCTGCCCTCGCAAAAGTAAAGTATGGTGTTCCACAAGGCTCTGTTTTAGGACCTATTTTATTCACAATATATATGCTACCACTGGGCACCATAATCAGTAAACACGGCATAAACTTCCACTGCTATGCCAATGGCACTCAGTTATATTTAGCAAGCGAACCGGATGATTAAATTAAACTTAGCAAGATTGAAGACTGTATAAAAGACATAAAGGACTGGATGTGGAGTAACTTTCTCCTTCTTAACTCGGATTAAACAGAGGTTCTGCTTCTTGGTCCAAAAGCTGCTAGAAACAAACTGTCTAATTTAACATTTAAACTTAACAATTTCTCAGTTGCGTCAGGTTCATCTGTAAAAAGCCTTGGTGTCATTATAGACCCTGATCTGTCCTTCGACGCACATATAACTAATATTACTAGAACAGCCTTCCGGCATCTCCGCAATATTGCTAAATTGAGAAATGCATTATCTCTACAGGATGCAGAAAAGTTAGTTCATGCATTTATTACTTCAAGGCTAGATTACTGTAATGCCCTGCTGGCTGGATGTCCCAGCAAAAGCCTTAACAAGCTTCAGCTAGTCCAGAACGCTGCAGCCAGAGTTCTTACTATAACCAGAAGGTTTGACCATATCAGTCCAGTTTCATCTAATCTGCACTGGTTACCAGTTAAATTTCGCATTGATTATAAAATTCTATTACTGAACTGTAAAGCACTAAACAGATTCGCCCCTCAGTACCTGAGTGAACTTCTCTCCCACTATGAACCATCACACCTACTTAGATCACAAGGTGCTGCTCACTATTAGTACCTAGAATTAATAAAGTTACATCAGGGGGGAGAGATCCTCATACAAAGCCCCCCGGCTTTGGAATAATCTTCCTGTTAATGTTCGGGACTCAGACACAGCCTCAGTGTTTAAGTCTAAGCTAAAAACTTACTTGTTAGTTGAGCCTTTGTTATTTAGTTTTCCCTGTCAGATCCAGACCTGCCGGAGTCTCTGCTGCTCTGCTAACACTGTAATCTGTGATCAGTCACCCATTACAGAACTGACTGTGTGTTTTCCCTTCTTTGCCAAGTTGATCAGCTGCCCATCCTGTGCGTCTGATGCTGCTGCCTCTTCTTCCTTGATCGGGTGCCACTGCTCACCAGCCTTCTGGACCGGGTTGACCACTATTAAACTTAATGCTGTACAACGCTGTGCAAACCTCACCCTCCCGCTGATGCTGCTGCTGCATAAACTACCTAATCAATTTAACCATTGCTCCACCTGTTTTCCCCATTGTGTACTATAATACTTTATACTAACACAGTTTGCTATCCGGTGTCGACCAGAGGAGGATGGGTTCCCCTTCTGAGTCTTGTTTCCTCTCAGTGTTTCTTCCTCTTGCCCTTACAGAGTTTTTCCTTGCCACTGTCACCACTGGCGACGCTCATGGGGGCTCAGACCCAGATTTTCTTTCTGTAATGCTGATTTTTCTGTAAAGCTGCTTTGTGAGAACACCTGTTGTAAAAAGCACTATATAAATAAACTTGGCTTGCTTGCTTGATAGAAGTGCTGATCTAAGATCAAAATCATGTGTAGGAGTGCTGATCTCAGATCAGATCCCTGTGTAGGAGTTCTGATCTAAGATCGGAATCCTGTGTAGGACATCTGATCTCAGATCAGATTCCTGCATAAGAGTGCCGATCTAAGAACAGATTCCTGTGTAGGAGTGCTGATCTAAGATCAGATTCCTGTGTAGGATTGCTGATCTAGGATCAGATTCCTGTGTAGGAGTGCTGATCTAGGATCAGATTCCTATCTTGTTTACTGTGACTTTATTGTCAGGAACAGGTCCTAGATCAGCACTCCTGCTCTGAGAAGGTTTAAGTTTACAGGCCCTTGTTGGAGCTAATAAAATGTTTCCTTAAATCACTACCTTGATCATGAAATGTGTTATAGTCATACAGATAAAGTTGATTAATAAAATAATATTACTTCTCTCACTAAGGATAGACCATGATTTGCCTGTGTAAGGGAGTTTGGACATTGAGGAGTCCCTGAAGTTATAGAAGTGTCCAGAAGCCAGCAAGCATTGCTGACAGTGAAAATGAGGGCGAGCTGACCCTCAAAGAGCAAAGTTAGCTGATA